AGATATCACGGGGATTGATCTGGGAAGGTTTCGGTAGAACTCTCGGGCTTTCATGGAGTGCAGTGTACCCTGAAACATTCAAAGTTAAGCTTTGGGGGACACGCGACACCAAGGTCATACATCTAAAGGGCGATATCACGCTTGGCTGCTTTGGCAGGCAGAGGCAGCAGTTCCGGATTGGAGATCAACTTGTAGACAGAAGTTTGAGGGCACAATGAAGTTACATTGACATATCTTGATTTTGTCGATTTGCACAGATACAAGTGCCGTGTTCTCAAGGAAAGGTGTAAAGTTAGGATTTAGGCTTTATGGTTTAAAGTTTAGGCTTAAAGGTTGAAAATTAGGGTGTAGGGTTTAGGGGTTTAGGGGTTTAAGGTTTAGGGTTCAGGGTTTCAGATTCAGGGTTAAGGGTTTCCAGGTTTAGGGTTTACGGTTGGAGCATGAGCCCTACATCACAAACTGAAGTCGAGGCCCACGTTCTCCAAACATCCCCTAGAATCTTAAACCGAAACCCACACGACACAAAACTCCTAGAAGCCCAAACCGAAGCAGCCCCCGTACGACAAGCCTCCTGCAATGCTGTCTCGAAAACTTGCCTTTTGATCTCGAAAACTTAAGAATTCGAGACGGCATCTTCGTCCCCATAACCCGACTCCGGAAGCGTGTGACATCTGCATATGCAGGAGCACTAAAACAAGACATCATCAGCGAGGCGAGAACCTGAGTCTTGATTGGTTTCTTCAGAATAGAAGAACAGTGTGCTAGAAGCTGTGGGACAGCTGTTAGCTTGCAGTGTGGACATGGCATGAACGTGGACATGGCATGAATATATTGAAACACGCATGTTGGTTTGTGCGGCGGTCTCTGCAAGCTCATGTTATGCCCCTCACTGACTGCGTCTGACCCCAGAAGTGTGCGACATCTGCATCTTAGAAAATCCCCATCATCAGGCCGGCCTGGCAGCAATGGCAGGGCGAGGCCAGGACCTCAGGTCGAGTGCATGGCATGACCAGAAACGGATGCTCGATGCATGCCTGCCAGGAACCATGTCATGTTTGGTGCTGTTGCAGCTTGCAGATGGCATGACTACAAACACACGCTCTCAAGGAATCATGTCATGCGTGGTGCACGTTTGTACTTGGGT